GGATTTACAGCAAAGAAATGTTGAAATTGCAACGATTATGAATAAACTGCATGCTGAAATGAGCAGTGTATCTATTTTTAAGGGTCCCAATCTTTTAAGTTTGAAGTGAGGTTATTTTTTTTTATAGTGACATAATAGGAAAGTTGAAAGTGCATATTAACAAAAATCAATCTAAGAAAAGGCAAGAGTAAAATTAGTAATGGTGATCTGAATGCTTGAAGAGCTATAACGTTGAGATCTATTAGCATTTCTTGAAAGTTCATGGCAACAACTTCCTTGCAACTGTTTTTGATTATCTCCAGTTTAGGATTATCTACATTAATCAGTGGTGCCAGAATAGAATCTATGTTCAACTTACTCAACTGCCTCTTTTTGAGCTCTTGTAGGTGATATAAGCTATGACCTTCTCCTCCAACAGAAGAGACAGCACAGCCAGAGAGTGCTCCAATAGAAATAAAAGTAAAACCACATTCACAGAAAGCAAGAAACAAAACTAAAAGCTTATTGAGCTGAATGAGCTCCTTGAAGGGACACAAAATCCTCCAAAACAAACCATGGGAAATAAGAGATTGAAAAAAAGAGAAATGACCAGATCCTCAGGTAGTGTAAATCCCTGCAACTCTGCTGCCTTCAGTAGAGTCTGCGGATTCTTACTAGTTGAGAGATTTTAATTTTACTTTGTTGGCACTAATTATTGCCAATGCAATTAACAATTATTAACTTCCTTGTTGCCATTGATCTTTATACAATCTTTTTTTTTTTCTTCTCTATATTTTTGATCACCTTGCTCTCATCCGGGCAATATTTGTAGTCAATTTTTGAATGCATGTTTTAAGAATGTGGAAATAATAATTAAATTTTATGTGCTAACTAACTGCTGTAGTGATTGTTATATACTGCTTTAGAAAGAAGCTAAATTAGGCACATATAAGTTCTAAATAGTAAATGATAATGCTTTCCTGTATATTTCTAATAGGTAATTGCTTGATGACTTTTCAACTAGGGCCCTTAGAAATGACATATTTCCTCCGAAAAAAGGACATTATGTCTATTCTAACGTAGTTTTAAGTGTAACGGCACATTTCGAGGCATGCTCAGCTATACAGCCAATGACAACCTTACGGAGATACACCTTATTAGCTTTGACAGAATGCTAATAAATCTCCAGCCTGGAGGGTACTCCCTGGGGAGGCCTGGCTCCTTACCTTTGACATAGGGGATGAAGTGGTGTCGGAAGGGGGAGTTGGGGCGGGAGTCATGGTGAGTGGAGCTGAGACTGCTAGTGCGCAGGTATGACAACCGCTGCACACCAGTAGAGAGCAGCTCTGCGGCAGCAGGGAATCGGGGGGCAGAACAAAATGAAAACAAAGAAAAACAATAAGAGAAAGGCCGGGAAGGAGGCTTCAAAGGAAAAAAAAAAAGGCATTGAACAATTAGGATTCTGAAAAGAAGGAAGAAGGGAAAAAAAAAGGTTAAAGACGTACCGAAGGGTTCATAAATGTTAGACAAAATTACAGGAAGTATTAGAAGAGAGGCTCAGATTTGAACTGCATCGCTAATTTGGCATAACATTTATTGGCTTAACGATCTTCTGATCTATGCCTTGTTACCAAAAAGTAGCCTGCTACCAGCATGCAAACATCGCAAACATTGACGCTCAATTAGTTAAGAAAGCAGCTGTTTTGAAAAGTACCTGACCAAAAAATGTCAGTCAAGCGGCATGCAAGCTATTTTCTATTGTTTTAAGACATTCCAAAAATGCTGCCAACATCAGCTAGGGCACTGTGGAAGGAAAAGGCTGCAAACTTTTTCAAAACTTGTAGCACTCAAATTTTTGAAGAACCTTATGCTGACAATGTCAACACAGTGGTTCACTTCTCTCTCAAGGGCTAGCTGGGAGCCAAAGAGAAGTTATCTGGGGCCACCGGGTTTATTCAGAGAGAAATTATTCTTGCAAATAACATGATGATAAGAAGTGCCATTAGGAGAAAAATGGTAAATATACATGTGCTATTATTCAACATGAATAATTACTGTAGGAAAATTATAAAGTAGCATTAACAATTACCCCAAAGCAGGATAGCAAAGATCAAAATGATAAATTCTACAGAATTACTTCTGTGTCATATGAGAAACAGAAACAGGTGAGCCAAAGATGAGATCATCTGAACAGAGGTAAGTTTGAAGAAACATCTTCTCAGAAAATCCCTCAGGCTGCAAGCTTTTGAAGATTTTACATTTGGATCCAAACTCTGGCTTGAGCCCATCCGCCCATCACAAGAGTTACATAAACAGACTGCTTCTGGGGAAGGTCCTCGACTGAACACAGACAGTAAAACTCAATCACATTAAAGTCTGGAATAGGGCCTGGATTTGTTCATACCCCTGATACAACTGATACAAATGGAAAAATCCCCTCAGAATTGCCAGAATCAAGAGACAGAAGTTTGCAGCTTTTTCACGCTTTTAAGTCTCTTTCGGTTTCAGTTGTAACGTCATCTTAAAACACAGTCATGTTGTCAGCACTAAGTATCAGACACAATTTGCTTCTGTCCCACCTCCCTTGGGTCCTTTAAATAAGGCATTCACTGACAGACACAATTAGCTGCTTTCAGCCCACCCCCACTAGGAAATGGCTACAGCATTCAAGTTCCACAGTGGTGGCTCTATTATAAATCTTTCATTTTAAAAATGCAGCTCCTATGGTATATGGGCTTTTGGCATCCCAACTGTTCAGCTGTAATCACCAAGGAAGATGGAACTGCACGATTGTATCACTTAATGTAAAAACAGATCACAAAACATTTAATTCATTACCATAAACAATAAAATCAGTCTTGAAAAAAGTATTCAATGAATAGCATTTAGAGATAAATTTTTACGCAATTTGGGTGTGGATGAACAGTTCATTTTCGTATCTTGCTTTTATATACACAACCAGTAATTTTGAATGCACTGGGAACCTGAATGACCTGTACATTTTCTATACTGTACATAGAACTTGCACATCAATGCTAAACTAGTAAATGAAGTTTGTGTTTTTTAAATGTTCCCAGGCAATTGCCTATGGCTTTAATTAAGAAATCTACCTTGCAAACCATGAATCTATGTTTTAAAAAATGACTAGCAATTTGGAACATCTGGGGGTTTTGCTGCTGAATCTGAAGATTCCATGGCTCCACCAAGCTTTAAATGAATTGTTTTTTAGGAGGGATGAATCCTACATTACTAACTTCTGCATAGTCAAGCCATAATTTTTGTTTCCAATATGTGATACTTTTCCCAAATTCCAGAATGAAGTTTGTGATTCACTGCTGCAAATTTTTGCTCGCTTTCAGAAACATACAAAGATTTAAAAAATAATTAATCAGAAACAAAACCAGAAGATCCATATTTATGATGTAGGAAACACTCATCAGCCTAGTGCAAAAGACTGCACCAATCAAGAACAAAAAAAACAGGTAGAAAAGGATATTAAAATATGCAACAATTTTTCAATCCTAAATTTTCACTGCTAAGAGAAACAAGTGTTTCGCTGCACCACTAAGTGACATAATAAAGAAACAATAGTTTTACATATACTTCTAATGCAGTTGCCCTTACCAGGTCTGTGGAAATGCTGAGGGGAACGTGACATGGTGGGTGTGTAGCTATGACGACTGTACACTGGAGAATTAATGGAGCCCTGACTAGTAGACCTGTGAATCATGCGATCCCGAACATCTTGATAACCCTGCAGAATAGAAGCATTCACTAATAAATGTAAATGCACATTACACATTTTTAGTAGCACTTAACTTTCATGGATCTGAAGACATCAGCAGAAGCTACTGAAATAACAATATCCCTTAAGCTTTCAACCTACTTCATTATTACTGTTCTCTAATGATCTGTTCCAAAGACTCCAATCCATTTTTATAGTCTGGGTAAGAGTTCAGTCTTGGAAGGTTTCAACTCCACCTGTAATTTCTATTAAATTCTATATAATCCTAGATTTGCCCACATTCCTGTGACTCCATAAGGGAAGCTGCATTCAGAGTACATCTGTACATTCAGAGTATGCAGCGTACTGCACAAGATACATGAGCTAGCCTTCAGCTAGCTAACTTGGAGACCAGCAAGAGTTCAATAGCTGCAGCACAGACTTCTCTGTGGCTTCATTTACCATCTGTCTCAACTAGCTACATCAAAAGGTATTTAGTATCAAAACTAGATTCCCTTTGTATCTGAAAACATTACACCTTCTTGTATATAATTCAATTTACTTGGTTCCCTGGGGGGAAAAAAGCCAATTAAACAAAACAAACAAAAAACCCTCAAAACAAACAAATCCCTGCCTCCCCCAAAACCCCACAAAGCAAACCAAACCAGGACACAAGGGATAGGACTGATGTTAATGCATGAAGATTTACAAGAAGTTTTATAATCACTTTTTTTACATGTAGCAATCACTACAAATTTTACGTTGCAAATAAGCAACACTCCCCAGCCCCAAAACGATAATGCTTCTGCAGTGGCATCTATTGTATCCTGACAAATGACTTCCCAAATGTTTCATGTTATTGTGATGTTCAAATTAACTCCTAGGGAAAAGCAAAACCAAACCAAAACATAGTTATGTTTTCTTCAAGACAAAACTGCAATGTTTTAGTAGCAAATATGGCTTATTATTTAGATGCTTAGAGCAACATTTTAGCTCATGTATATCATCCAGCTCCTGAGATCTGAGTCTGCCTGTGCCACAAGGATGAATGTAAAAGAAGTGACCTCTGCTGGAGAAATGACTCTGCTTTATAGACAACAAACGGGTAGGAGTGGTGGCTTCATTTTTTGTATAATCTGTCAATAAGAACTTAATGTTTTCCTTTTAGAGTTAATTTTTGTTAAGTTTCAATATTCAGAAAACATGTCTATGTGGCAAACAGAGATGGATCAGACTGATAACAAAATCAACACCTGCATTTGCTGAAGTGAATAATGCTAATCACAGATACTGCCCCCAAAGGTTCCACCAAACTTACTTCTGCAGAAGGGGTAGGTGATAATGTCCTTGGAGACTGCAAAGACATAAAAATAAGGTTACCGAAACATCATTGCATGTGCTGGGCCAGAAAATGGCAATCTAAACATTGCTGCAGATACATGGATATATGGCAACATAAAATGGCAATGTAGAAATTATTGAGGCCATTGCAGCACTGGAACTTGCTTTTTCCACATTGCTCAGGAATTGGTCCATAAATCATTGACGCAATTAAAGTTTCTGGGAGAATCTTTATAAGCGTGATTAATTCAGTCAAATATCATGCACCATCATCTCTCAGCCATCTAATCATTGTGGCGATTAAAACATAGCTGTAAAGATCAAAATCAGAAAGGGTTATTAATTTAATAACTATGCCTGTTTGAAGAAATCTTTAAAGTGGAAATCAAAAGTAAATAACCTTAACTCAGAGCTTTGCATGGCATCAGAAATACAGACTAAATTCCAGGATGAAGCATGTTTTTCCTCCAACACACATACTCTGGCAAAAATGTGCTTCTCCCCAAGGCCTTACATTTCACACCCATGCAAAGGAGTACTTAGTTGTCATCAACATTTCTTTGATATGATCTCCTTTGAATCTCTGTTTTTCCATGGTTACGTCAGGAGAACAGACAGGAATTACAAGCGTGTATATAGAAAGAACTGCGCAAAGGCCAGTGGGCAGAAATACGCACAATATTATGAAAAGTTTGTATTACAGAGATAGGGAAACTGAGGCAAGAAATACCTTTAGAAATGAAGCATAAGATCATGCATACTTTGATGGTACGAACAAGAGTAAAGGCTATGTATAATTACCAGTTATGTGCCCTTTAATCACAAGACAATTTGAAGCTGGAAAATCAGGATTTAATTATTTTCTTTATGCACTAAACTTCAATATTATTTAATTGCCATAATAAACTGAGCAAGAGATTACGCTTTTAAATAAGACCACAATTATTATAGAATGATACAGCTATTAAGATAATGTCTCAGAAGCAAAACCGCTGATTCTGGTCTAACTCTTACAATAATGTACAGCAGCAGTAGTGTAAAACGTATGCAGAATTTCTGGTAATAAATATCCAGCTATACATTTTGCATTGAGAGATCATTAACTCTCATGGAGCTGGTGACACTGTGAAAGCAAAGTATCCAAACAAAGGAGCAACATTTTTTATTTGGGTACAGAACATCTCCCTTTCAACATGTTTCCATAAAGCTCTTTAAAGACTGCTTTTGTTATTTTCCATCAAAGCCTTGAATGTCTTTTACATTCTTATTTTCCTAATCCTTATAACTGTACAAGTTCTATACAGCAGACCACCATTTCATTATAGATCTAACAGCAGCAGCCATAAAAACTTTGCTCCACATGAAACATATCGTACACAGTGCTTTGTAGCATTATACTCCTCAAAAACAACTGAGAGCTAATCTAAAACTTTCAATATCAGTGAAAAAAGCACACGTTGTGATGTGCGTTCCCACTAGTAATTTTTGTGTTACTGAATAAACAAATTTTCATAATCTGCTGTGGTTGCCTGGATGCTAAGGTAATGACTACTGTAAAAGGTAGTCACAGGAATCTAAGACTGGGAAAGCATCCCAGAAAGTAACATGCTGAATCCATGACGAACCTTTCATGTATTTTTACTCCATCACTATCTGACATCATCTCATTGCTTTTTGGGAAATGGAACCACACTCTACAGCCAACTTACTGTTTTATCATGCACAGGTGAACTGTCACATCTCAAACTCTGAGTCTGCCAAAGAATGCTTGGTTCTTCAGGGTTTACGAGGTCTTTTAAAATCTGGTCTATCACAGAAGTCTACACTAGTCAGTTTGAAATACACTGTGCAGTCGACTGAAAAGAAACAGCTCAGTTCCAGAAGAGTAAGCCAGTAGAAACATAGCGTGATGACTTCAATTAAAAAAAAAAAAAAAAAAAGAAGTCTGGCTAGAGAGCCTGTTCTGACCAAATGTACAGTAAAACTTCTACTCACTGCAACAGGCTCAATGCTCTATCACTTTGAGATCTAAGGGGCTGCTCTAATACCTAAAGTTGTACAGGTCATTTTGTGCTCTGGGAAATTTCTGCAAACTTTTACAGGTGTCATTTTATAACACAAATTCCAGCATTTTGCACTGATGTCATTTTAACTGTCTTTTTATTGAACTACCAGGTAGGATGCCTGCTCCATTTTGAAGCATCTATCACATTAGGAAAAATACTTTTCTCAATTTACAACAGCTTGTTTACTGAAAGCTGTTACAGACATTCAATACTTTCAACAGATAGAATACTAGAAATAAAGGACATGCAGGTAAAATGCTGCTTCTCTCAGTACTTATGCAGTAAATGTCAGAGCTGAGAAAAAACAATTTCAGTGCTACCCAGGTTGCTGCTAGCAGGGCAGAAGTTATAGGACATGAAGAACCTGAGTAACAGTTTCTGGAAACTGTTATCACTACATTAAGGATCAGTCTCAGTAGCAGAAAATTTATTTACAGATCTCATTTCGTATCTCTTCATCGCTTTTATATTAGAAGCTAAACCAGCTCTTCATCAGCTGCCCTCCTCTTCCCCGCTAGCTGCTGGCGGATCTGCAAGTACAATGCCTGGTCCCGCTAGATGGTGCTATGTGAAAACATTTTTCATCACAGACTTCCAGAAAAACAAGATTGGGATTTAACTGAACAAGAGAGATTATGAGTGAGAAACTTTTCAAAGCATTTCCCTTCCATTGCAATAAAGAAGAAAGTCTCATGTTATGTTTTCTCACATTCTATAGCTAAGTATATAATTGTAGCCCTGTAATTAAGGTGTGTCTCCACCACTGGATTAACTTTGGTGGCTCTTGCACATCTCCCTTGTACACCCAGAAATCTTTGTTAGCTGAGTTTGGCAATTTTTTTTTTTTAAATCATGGTGAAAGGCATTTCTAGGGTACAAGCTTAAGCTCAGGCTCCCCTTTCATTTAACATCACCACATACACACACTTTGCAAAGAGAACACAGGTTAAATCACTCAAAATCTGTAAATCCCTGCCATGACTAAACATGTCACCTCCTTTGCTTTTTAAAGATGATGGTGACTGATGTATGATGTACCAAGATTGAGGTGTCACTCAATTACCACAACACAAACACAAAGTAAGAGATCACTCCACCCCTGATGGGCTTGTGTTCTCATTAGGGCAAGGGAAGGGAGGAGAAACAGGTACAAAGAGGTGAGGTAACTTGCCCAAGGTGACAGAAGTCAGCAGCAGCATTGGGTGGAAAACCCAGATCCTCTGAAAAGAAGGTGGGAGCCCTTTTGTTTCCAGAACAAATTTCTGTAGTCACCAGAAATTAATTGGATTTAATGCTGGTGAAAATACGGGGTAAGAAAACCCCAAAGGCTTTTGCTTATTCCCAGAACAAGCATAACGGCAGACAGCTTCCACGATACTGCTTTATCAGCTTCCAACATACTGCTTATAATTTAAAAGACTAACCCTATAAAACATTAAAGAACAAAGTAGAAAAACTGAGACAGCTCTGGTCTGTTGATGGGCAGAATACTTTGCTAAGAGAGCAGACTCAGTCACTGATCGGGGCATCTTCAGACCGCTGGTGCCTGAATGATTTACTGTACTTCCTTTTTCCTCAGCTCATCTTCATACTCAATTCAGTTACAGTCAGTAAAGTCACTGAGATTGCAAGGAAGGAAATCCATTTCCATGTCCATTTAGATTTGCATTCAGGAAGTCTGATTACAATCAGATGGTATTACATGACAAAACCTGCCTCACAATCTGCACTGAAACCATGTAAATAGTAATTACAGCTATGGAAGTTCGCCTGAGAAAACTGGAGGACCATACAACCTGAAAGATATTTTTAAATGCAAATTTAAGAGAATAAATTAGACAGGTTTTTTTTATCGTTGCAGGATACAAGAATCCTTACTAAATGTCAGCAGTTTAAAATGTGAGGCAGCTATTTCCATAACACAACTAACCTGCTTTCCCAGGTGGAAGAGCACTTCCATCCTGACCTAGTTCAGATTTTACCCAGTATGTCTGGCAAAGTGCTCTGGAAATGTATTTCCCTTCAATATGTGTGAGAGACAACATCCTGCTGCTCTTAATCCTTTTACTGCCACAGAACATCAGGGTATTCCTCATATGCCGTGTGAATATCAGTGCTCTACAGCACACCAGGTTGGCTTTTGCCTCACATTCCGGACTTTGCTGTACCCAAAGACTAGGATATCCATGTGAGTCATGAGAATGCACATGCGGACAGGCTGCAAACCTCCCCCCGCCATTCCTCTGCCAGCGGCTGGTGTTAATGTAGGTGTTCAATTGTGTGTTTGATTGTGCAGTTACGCACATGAGGCATCATCGTGACTGTTCCCATTAAACCCAGATCAAACAGACAAAAAGCACTTTGAACAGCAGCAGCAACAATACCAAGGAGTGTCAATTAGAAACTGTTTCAAAAGAGGATAGAAGCGAAGCAGGCTTTGAATAAAGCTTATAGCAGAATGGGTTGCTTGTCGGTTCATTACCTCTCCAAGACTCTGTCTCTCCTGTCTGTCCTCGTAGGCGGAAGTGTAGAATGGCTCATAAGTAATTAGGTCTGGACGTTCAATGTCATAAATGGCCTTGACTTTGGGAATGGCTGCTAAATCCTTGTAATCAAGGATCTCATTGTCTACTTTTGCCTGAAGGTCAAAGACAGAAGATAAATTAACTTACACAAATGCACCGGTAATTTCTGTTTTACACAATTTATGATTTTTGTGTATTTTTTGTCACACTGTTGCTGTGGAAAACCCTTTTTGGCACTTCACATGTGAAGTGATTGCTTCTTGTTCTTCTCCAATAGGCCTCCTCTGCAAAAGCACGCAGTGTTTTCTCAGTTGAGGAAAGAAAGAACATGGCGTATATAGATCGAATACAATAGTTTCTTGTCCCCAGCAGTGAGCTGGAAACTTCAGCTCTGCAAATGACTCATTTTGTGGCCTCAGGCAAGTATTTTCACCTTTCTGCTCTTGTTTTCCCATATGCAAAAATGTGTGATAACATCAACTTAGTTTGCAGATTACAGAGATTATGAGAGGATTCCATGCAGAAGACCACAGACAGAACGCCAACTTTAACTGTGCACACGAGAGGAAATACAACTTATTACAAGGAAATAAGAAGGCAAGCAGGACTATTTGTCAGGACTGGGTATCCAAACTCCCAATTGAAATTACTACATTGCAGTCATTACTCAACCTATACCCAAGCTTCTGAGTAAGGCATATGTTGCTTACTAACTGCATACTACATAGTACTAACATTGACTATTTTTTACACTAAAACTGCAAGGAGCTCTTGACTAGTTAAAAAATGGAAGTAGGAAATGAGTTCCAAAGTCAGCTGCAGAAGGAGCTAGAAAGAGGCCTTACGTATAATTTAGATAGCTAGTATCTTTCCTTACTTAAAAGAAGACTTGTTAAAAAAAATCATCATACATTCTTACCTACCTTACAGAAATACATTTGATGATTACAACTGAAAAAGAATACTCAAACTGGTTTTCAACTCTTCTGCTAGGTATTCTATTTATTCATAGTAGACTGCACAAGGAAACAAGGCTGATCAGTTTCTACTCACATTCAGTTCCATTCTTCCCGAGTACTAGCACCTAGTATTTTCAGATTTAAGTGCATTTGCCTTCCCAAGCTCTCCTAACAACCACTGGTCTTGGTCGTTCTTAAGCAATGCCACAAATTAGAAACAATACAAAACATTTTTTGATAGAGAAGCAAGGTTTGAAATTCACTTTCTAAACATAGCCACAAATCTGTTCAGTTTTGACTCACCAGATACAACAAAATACCTTAAGCCAACTGAATCCTTAAAATACTTAGGTATATTAGTGTATGTTATTTCTGTAATATTTTTACCGGTCTGTTAATGACCTGCAAATATGTCTGGATATTCTTAATCCAATATAAACTACCATAGATATTTTTGTAGACCCCGCTGTAAACCACATTGCCCTACAGACTGTGCTGTTGAGCAGCCGTTAAATTTCATAAGCTACAGCTTATGAAGTTGATATTACCAGCAAAATGGCAGTTCTCCAGGACATGCGCTGTGTTTTGGTATCTCCAGTGTGAACATTTTTAATACATCAGCTAATTTTTGTTGTTGTTGGTGGTGGTGTTGAAATGCACTGAACAACTTTAACTCAAACTCAGGACTTGAGATTTGTAATTTGCTGCACTATTATACATGTAACTGACAATTTTTTGTGTCTTACACTACATTTTCTTAAGGTGATCTATAAAATCAGTGATTCAGCATTATGCATAGGTAACTGAAAAGAAAGTTTGCCTTGCAGTCTGCATCTTCTTCCCAGCATACCTTCATCTTTGCTGCCCTCATAATGGACTCTCTCTCACTGACTTGCCTTCCTGTAATTTTCTTCCTTAGCTGTTATCTTCCACTTCTGCCTTAGATTTTTGCAGGTTATGTGAGAGCATGTTTTATTATGAGGACAAAGGTTATATGGACTTTCAAGGAACAGGACTCTTAAATGGATGAGAATTTTTGGAAGTGTAAGTTATATGCATGGAAATACAGCAAGTTCGAGAAGGCTGAGCTGTTCTGTTATTCACCAAAGTACATCTGAGTTGATATTCTTTCTCCTTAGAACCAGATTAGTTCAGCCACAGAAGATGACTTTTTTTGACCCTGTGGACTTCTCTGCCAAGGAAAAAAAAAGGTACTGACACTTACAACACTGAAATGCCTGAAGAAGTCGTATGAAAATAGGAGAAAAACATCATTCCTTTGAAAATTTTGGGCCAATCTTCTGCTAATGTATTTCCACTTTTAATCTCTATGATATTATGGGCTCAAAAGGTACCAATAATGAAGCCAAGAAGTGAAAGAGATCCTCTAAAATAATGAAAGAGGAGTCTTGATTACTGAAGGAATCATATTAAACTCTACATCTCAGGTAACCACAAATAAAATAGTATATTAATAGCTTTGCATTTTCAGCACTGTTGGTGTTCTTGAGTAAAAGAAGGATGCTTAATATTGTTTTTGTTCTTAAATAAAAAGCACCTTTCCTTCCACAACCAAAACATCTGACTTATGAAATGGCAGGTGTTGTACCAGCCAGGCTTCTTTTAGTGTAGTTGACGCTCCTCCCCACATCCTGCAACTGCAGACAGCAGATCTCTCAAGAACTGCATATCGAGGTGCACAGATCTCCTCACATAACCCCTAACAAAGTCAAATGACCTGTCTGCCTTCTGTCCCTCTTCACATCACCAAGTGACTTCAAGAGATTTACTGTATCTTTCTAAGGGAAATGTGACCTGGAAAAGGCCTACCTTGCTCTTGAAATTCTGTAGTTATAAAAACTACATGGCGAGAATTTTAACAATTTAACCATTAGAATAAAGGCAGTAACATCAGTATAAAAGTGATTTATTTCAGCATGGAGTATTTCACGTGCAAGCAAGGGATCAGCAGCTTATTCATCAGAAGGAATACTTACATAGATAGTGTGGCCTGGAGAGCCAGGTATACTGGAACCTGGTCTGGAATAAATACTTTCTGATGATGTTCTTGTAGGCTGAAAAACAAAAAGTAACTTTTCAGAGCAACCTGAAGCCATTAACATTGGTAATTTTGGTTTTAAGTGAAGAAATCTGCATACATCTTGAAATTAACTGAATTTAGGAAAAAATGTCAACACAAATGCAAGCATTCTGGCAAATTTCACAGTCTTGTGAGGGAAGTGGGCTTTTTTTTTTTGGTAGGGGAAGGAGTGCTGTGAAAGGGTAAAGAGGTTTTCTAAATCATACAGTGTAAAAGACTGACGACAATAATGAACAAAATCAAACAACACCTGTCAGAGACACTGCAAGGAGCCATACAAAGTACAATCCAGGATAGTCCTGCTGGTCATTTTATCAAAACGTTAGTTCACAAACAGCTAGAGGTATCAGCAGTTCAGCAGACAAAACTGTTGAGAGGAGCACAGCACACATGTTATCACTTTCCAGATGTTCCATCACTGGATTTCCATTATGAATACAGAACTGAATTCAGTCCTTCTAAATAGAAGGACCAGAAATCCTTGGCTTGGAGCTGTTCCCTACATCTGCAGCCCAATCTAGATGCAACATGAAAACTAAACTGTTGATTGAAATTTCATGATTCCCCATACTGCAAAAGTCCTAATGTTTAATGACAATGTCCTGCAAACTGAAATTCATGAGAACAGTCACATCCCTACAGAGTGAGTGCTGTTACACATTTAGTAGATTTTCCGACACTTCATCAGGACTAAACAGACACTGATTGCCTGGGAGAAGTTTTGTGAGAGGAGAAAAAATAACTTATCACTGAGATGTGGGGATCCTGAAAACGTGATGAATTTGAAAACATCTATTTGATCAAAAGTCACCCAGGCTATTGTGGCAATTACTCCTAAATTCGGCATGCAGCAGACACACAAAGGTAGTCAACGATATCCCACTCACAACTGAGAAACCATAAACAACTTTTGCTCCCTAATTGACTGCAAAGAACCAAATCCCATCACAAAGCAATGCATCAGCAGATTACTCTGATGACACTAGTGCAGTGGGATACTTCAAAGTCACTGAAGATTAAGTCATGGTAAATAGTCCTTACCTTGTCAGCTTGTGACATTGAACTAAGGGACCTTCAGGCACACACTGAAGAGAAACAAAGCTTGACAGCCTGGCTCACTGATTCTTCTTAGGAAATATCTGGAGTGAACACAACAACGCTATTGGGCCTTTCTTATCTCTCAGTATACATTTCCTGAAAGGATCCTTCAACAGACCTCAGAGCCTTTCTACCTTTTATTTCATAGCCAGGAAAGCTATTGGAACCATCCGTATAAAAAATGCTGAAGACTAGTCATGTATCATACAGCAGGCTTTCTCTGACTTCAGTTGCAGAAATGAAATTACCACATTCAGGGAGGGACAGAAGAATAAAAAGCTTTGAACATGTTCCACCAAAAAACGTGAAGATTCAGATCAAACAGAGAGCAGATGTGGCCGCGGACTGACACAGTCACAAATCCTCTCCAGAGCATGTCTGAGAACACTTTCTCAGCTGGACCTTTATGTGTTTCTTTCCTTTTCTCTCTGTAGCTGCAAATTCCTACATCCTAAAAGGGAACAGAAATTTCTCAGCTGCCCTTAAGCTCCTCCCATGATGCAATCAAAGCGAAAAAACCAACAACAACCACTTGTTTCATGGAAATGTTACAAGAATTAAGCTGGAAAATCTGGCTGTTGTTGAGAAACACTTTATCCCCCCTTCCATTCTGCCATTTCACACCACTGTCTGTTTGAGTGGAGACACATGTAACATGTTGCTGCAGTTGCTATGGAAAACAATTGTTTTCATTACAACATAGGGAAAAGTAATAAGTAGCTGAGGTACTGTTAGGGGTGTCTCTGTTACCTTTGGCTTTTGGCAGACATACTTTAAGAGTTTTGTCTGCTCAATTCTCCCTGTTGTAGGAAAACAAGCGTTAGAGGCAGTTACGACTTCTTCCCACCTGGCAGGCCCTCTGGGTTGCTCTTAGCTCTGGATCTTTTATAATCACTTCAGGAAACAAGAAATTCTCAGTCCTCGGTCCATCTCCTTAGTCTTATCTCTTAGTGTCACTGCTAAAAACCTTTTCAGCAAAGGAAAATCCACTTGTATTTATCAATTCAGTGAATTTATTAAATAAAGTTAGATACCTTAAGAAGATAGTTTTAGCCACATCCTGCTAACAACTTTCTTAGGTGCTCTTAACCCTGGAGTACAGGAGCAGTTGTCAGATGGACTGACAAGTTGCAGCACCTGTTCTTCATTTCCTCACTGTGTTTCTGCTCCAGGTTCCTCATTACCATCCCATTAACACGGCCATGAGCCAGATATGACACCCTTTAAAACCAGTTTTCTATTTTCTGTAATTCTTCTTGCGTATATAAATTTTACCTTCCGTCTATTGCAAAGCTCCACATTCCCTGGGCAGGATGCCATCCTGCCAGCCACTGCCTAAGCACACACTGTTCCTCTCCTGAGGAGCTTAATCCAAGCAGACCTGGAACTCTGTGGCTCTTCTATTTGCCCCCAGTCCTGTGTCTTGCTTAAGTTTACGACACACCCCTGAAGACAGCGCATGAAAAAGAGGACTTCTACATCTACTCACCCTTCCTGCCTCACTTTGCCCTATTTCTTGTTTTGAATTACACAGGCTGTTTCCATCGCAGATGGCTATTTCCTACTTTGCTGCTCCCATATGGTCTGGAATCCTTCACAGCTTTGCACTTTCCCCTAAAGACTTGCACTTAAAAACATTTGTGCTGCTTGCCTTAATAAACATACACTAAAGATTCCTTGATATAAGCTGTTTCTCCGACATACTTTTAGTTGCTATGGTTGGCTCCTCTCCTAAGAGACCTATAATAGCTCCTGACTGAAAACTTGTGACAGGGTATGGCTTTTATTAGATTGTACATTACATCTTCATTAGCAGTTGAGAATCCCTGGCCCTGTGTACCACTGTTGTGACTTTATATCTTAAACAGGTGGCAAGAGACACACTGGAAGGTCAAGTTCTCTACTGATTTAACTGCAGTGGGGTGTAAATTCCACCTTAGAGGAGAGCTGATCAGAGTACAGGTAAAACAGGAATAGTGGCTATCCCTGATTTCACCTTTAACCTTCAGTGGAGATATCATGTGAGCATCTCTTGCACACATTATTGGAAGAAGACAGGTAAAGAAATTAGAGGAAACATCCTTTAATACAAATGCATTAATTTAGAGGTATTTCCTTCCATCACAACAGTCCTATGACACTTGTTCTACACTCCTAGCAACAAAACAAGTTAAGCTGCCTCACTTCTTCTACAAACAGATCTGGAACACTCTTTATATGATTGTTCTTGTTCTTGAAGGTTTCAAATAGAGCTTTTCATAATGCCACCTCTGCGCAGAGAAATTTAAAGCAAATTCCTATGAAGAACTACAACTAATCTTTTTTTCTTTTCTTGAGGTGCATGGCCTTTCTCCACATTTTCTGACAGTAGAAGAGTCATCTCTTTTTTTCTTTCCTCTTCCACCCAAATGTATGTAACAGTAGCAAATATATCAATATGGGATGTCTGTACCAGATACAGGAAGTCTGTGAAGTACATGAAAAAAATCAATAGAAATTCAGTCAATAGAAATTCACCCATGTCATTAAAAGAGCCAAAGGAAAGAACCAGATCACAACGTATCTGAAGTATCTGCGATACTTCTCAGTATTTCCCACTTTATCACAGACTTCTTATTTTTATGTTTTTGTTCTTCATTCCATGCATTTGTCTTCAATGCAAAAGTTCTTTACCAACTTCATTTGCAGATTGGCAGAGTATCACCAACTGTCATGCTCATTTATTAGGTTCACTGTGAATTTCAATGCTCAATTATCATATCACCCATGCATATGCCCCAAACTGATTAACTTGTTATTTCAATATTAGATTGGAAAGCTTAAGATGTTCATCTGCATTTACCTCAGTTTGTCATGTCATCATGCATGGCACATCATCTAAATAAATAACTTCTTAAAAAAAAAAATCCACGCTAGAGCTATTCACATCATCCAGATGCTGCTACAATGTGGTGGCTCTGGCTTTCTCAAGTACAGATGTTCAGAATCATGCTCTATAAAAACTTACAAGTGCAGGCAACCAGATCAAAACCGATCCCAAGAACATCTGGCCAAACGGATGTACTATTGTTTAACAAAGGCATCGCCAGCATTGTTTACAGTACCTGCCTTAGTTTTTTGATAGAGTTCATTATGCAAGGTGGTGATAATAGCTGCAGAAGAATGAATACGTTTTCACTTAATAACATTTAACATTATAGCTTAAGCAAATTCAGAAGCTTTAAGTGAAGCATGTTTATAAATAAGCTAATAGAAGATTAGGATGTAATTTATTTCTACTAGGCAGACACAACTTTGCAATAGCAAGGAATTTGGCTTTCTCAGTACAACACCTGCCACTCTGACTACCTGCTTAATCAACTGCAAGGTTTTACAGTTATTTAGGACTTGGAACCAGGGTTCATTAAACACAGGCTTCCTATGGATTTCAGTAATTTTCAGTTGCCGTGTACAAGACCAATAAAGCACCTCAGTGTTACAGCATATATTGTGCCTGTCTGCTAGTTTATTTGTACCCTTCTCCTTACAAGAGTGTTTCCTTCAAATGCATGCATTCATTATTTCTCTGCCTAAAAAAATCTATGCTATGTATGCATCAAGACAAAACTAATGAACAGGTTTAGTTCAAACTCACACAGACACACATATTAATAGGGTACTACTAATTTTTCTTTCCTTTCTAGACACAAAGGCCAGAGAGGAGAATGAATTTTCAGCACATAATCATTGAAGGCACGTTGCTACCAAACTCTTTTACAAGACTACTCATGCAAACGTAGCCTTCACCAAGAGTAAGTTAAGTGGAAAGCAGAAGTAGTAAAGTGGGAAGTCCAGAACATACTGAATTCAACAGCAAACTTCTCAGAGAATTCACCGTATTTCACCCTACAATTTTCAATGTACCATTTGCATGTAGAT